GAAGAGGAGCACTGAGAGAGAAATGATTCTTGCCCAAAAGACAATGCAATGATCTGGCCAGTTCTGAAACCTAGACCTGGGGGAGATCCAGGGGTGGTTCGGGCAAACCCCCTAAATTTTCCCTCAGAACGCTGGAAATCATGTTTCCGAAGAACTAATTTTCAAAATCTTGGACCCCTCATAAGGGGAACAATTCTCCAAACCTCCCTTGACTAAATCCTGGATCCATCCCAGTAGACCTCTAGAACAAGAGTCCAGTGCAATAGCCATTTGGCCACTGTGTCTCCCACAAAATATTTTAACCTAAGAGTAATATTTGATGGTGTTGTCTGATTACCCAAGCAAGAGTGGTCCTAAGAGGGACTGTTGATGGTGGTGGTGACTGATGTTTCAACAACCACTTCCCTCTGATGAAGACTTGACTTCTTTAAAATCCATTGAAAATATCACTACTTTTAAAAGGAAGCTCAAGCCTGTCTTGATACAGAAATTTTATTGATGAATGATAAAATTGAAAGTTGAAGTTGAAAGTGGATTAAAAGATGATCGTTTTTTATATATATAATAATAATATACCGTTTATTTGCCACATTGCAGAATTAACTGAATTAAAGGGCTAAATTTACAATCAATAATTAATTAAAACTACAATTACTAAGAACAGTAAAAGTATCTTAATTAACTATTTACATGTTTGCATATTCACTATTGAAAGGGTTCTGTCCTGGTGTACCGGTTCACAAGGGAATTACCATTGTTCTTCTTTGTTTAGGAGTTATCGGTTAGCTATTGTGTATTGTTTGGTCTTTTGTATTGGCTCTTGTGAACCGGTACACGAGGACAGAACCATTGAAAGAGATAAAGGAACCTGAACCTGGGTCCAGCAACAACTCCTATCTATATATATTTGTGAATTTCTCAGTTTTTGTCAAATGGCATCGAAAAACCATTTATTGGAACATCAATAAAGTTTGTATTGTATTGTATTGTATTATATTCTAGGTTGTCTAAGCACCAGTCACTAATTGCAAAGGCAGGCCTTCTCAGGATTACACCCTCCAGGAACATCAGACCACAGGATTAAATATTTGAAGAAATATTAGTACTGCAGGAGATTGACGGAAAAATACTCATCCCCAGTTCTTGCACTCCCACAATTCACTGGGGTCATGGAACACCTGACAAAATGGTTGAAGAGCCAATGCGACCCCTCCCCCCCCTATAGAGACCTTGTCTTGTCTTTCACTACCTCATAACTTCTTGGAAAGTTATGACGCAGCTGTTGTGGTAATTCCTTACTTCAGTCTGCTCTAACAGGTATAGTTGAGGTATGCCGGCAACTTTTCTCATATATCCTGGGTGTCCTGTGCACTCTCTTCGACTCATTTCTAAAATCAATGTTGTGTAAATATCATCTAGGCGTCCATTGATGATTTTGGGTTTGGTAGAAATCCAAGATGGCGTCGCCTTTTGAGGGTGACGGTGTACGAGTTTTATTGACTTGTTCCTGTTCTGCCTTATCTCCAGCGGCTCGTTTGTACTTCTGCCGACACTGCATTAAGCTGAGATGTCCTCTGTGTGTCTCTCATGAGGTAATTTGGAGTATTCACCTGGAAAAACAGCTCAATTCTAAACGTGACTGATCCTCTGTTTTGGCATTTTTAAAGGTGGATTCCTACTATTGTCCAAACTGCCTGGAAAACATGCCTTCCGCAGAAGCTAAAGTTAAGAAGAACAGGTAAAAGTGTACAGTGACTAAAGGGACGAGCGCATTGAAATGTGATGAAATACCATTCTGTCGATGTAGTTCGTGCTGTCGATATATATACTACGAGAACTTAGGGAACAATACTATTGAAGGGATGTCGCTAAGTTTGTGATCATCACGGAATATTAGACCTAAGATTTTAATGGAATATGCTTTTATATTAGTGTTCAGAAGCAAATGTTTAAGTATATACGTAACGAATGGCGTAAAAAATGAACGAAATCAGATCACCTTGTATTAAACCAACGAGGTACAGCTAGTACATGAATTTAGGAGCCCTTCATCGAAAGAAGTGGTTTATGAAAGTCCTCTGAATAACTTTTATAGTGTAAATCAGTGTGCTAGTGAATGTTTGCTCGGTATGTACTACATAAAAAATCTAAGTTTCTTTTTTATGGATTACAGATGTGCCAATTGCTTTGACTGTCCAAGCTGTGGTAACACACTTTCAACACGAGCCACAGCAGTGGCCATACAGGCCGAGAAGGGAGGGGATGATGCCAAAGCTATGCAAGCTAAGAAAGTGTACTACTTAGCCTGTGGCTTCTGTCGCTGGTCATCCAGAGATGTCGGCATTGAAGATAAAAGTGTTGGTGGGTTAAAATTACCATTTGTTGAACAGAGCATGGCATCATACATGTGTAGCACAACTAAATTTTTTGGGGTTATTTTTAGTCTGTTTCAAAACTCATTTCAGTCAAAGCCTTCTTAACATTAAGCCCCTTCTTAGGTTGACCAGCATCTAATTTCTCTCGCATGTTAGGCAGGGGTTTCATTAAGGGCCAGGCACCGGGCAAATTGACCGGTTGTGAGGACGGTTTTGCCCACCTGATTTGACAGTCTGGAGGAAAGTTTATCTTATAAAGAAGTTCAGTTCAAAGAGTTTTGCCCGCCTGTGAAAACCAGTTTCCCTCCTGCAGAAAACATTAATGAAGCCCCTGATAATATATACCTAAATCATGTGGTTGGCAATACCTTGCAATCCTAATTCAGGCTTTGAGATAGAGTTGTGCTTGTAATTGGATGTGTTATTATCCTGATTAAAATATAGAGAAAAGTGCAATCAAACTGGCCTGAAACATGGGAGAGTTTTCTTCTGTTTTATTATTAAACTTTTAATCACATATTTTGGCATCTATTCCTTTTGTTTGTGCAGATTTGCTAGCCACATCAGAAAGTTCTGGCCAAAACCTTTCTAGTTTGTCAATCCTAAATGACTTGCTCTCATCCCTGTTACAAGTTGGTCAGCTGTATGCTCATCAGGGAGCTGTGAGGGAAGCTTTGAGGCAGTTTGTGGATGGTGTTGCACTAGCAAGGCAATTTTGCNCATTTTTCTAGCAAGTGGTGCATGGCAAGAACAGGAGAGTCCTGCTACAAAAAGGGTACTAAGTCAACTTAATATTACTTGCAGTAAATGGTTTGAACCCGGGGGTAACATGTGAAGGTGTAGTCTGATCGTCCGAGTGAGTGTAGTCCTGAGAAGGACTGTTGTCGGTGGTAGTGACTGACGTTTCGACTCACGTTTCGACATTTCAACATTTCATCATCAGAGTCAAGTGAATGATTGTTGTCAGTAGAATTCTACTGACAACAATCATTCACTTGACTCTGATAATGACTTCCGCACAGGTTGTCGAAACGTCAGTCACTACCACCGACAACAGTCCTTCTCAGGACTGCACTCACACGGACGATCAGACTACACCTTCACATAAATATTACTTGTTGCTCAGGGTTCTTGGATCTAACAGAAGTTCCTTTCACTTCCAAGATGTCTTTGGTAATTCCCCTCACTGTCTGCCATAGAATTCTTATGTTGTTAGTTTAGAGAATTTGATATTGGATCAACTAATAATCCTCCTATAGATATTTTGCTTATCACTCGCATACCTGATATTGTATTGATATTGTAAGGAGAAATTCTCCAAAGTAACATGATAAGAATTGTATGGCAGACAGTTAGGAGAATTACAAGGTAGATCTTGAGAGTGAAAGGTGTAAGGTTGTTGTTCACTAAACAGGATAACGTGTTGTTATTTGTTCATTTTTTTCTTTGACATTCTTTCGGCTGACTCTAAGGTCAACATCCTGGTGGAGTATTACAGACAACTTGCACAGAAAGAGAAAGTGGAACGGGAGAAAAAGAAATTGACTAAACGACGCAATTTCATGCATTTATCTGTGAGTAACTAGCTTGTATGTGAACAGATTGACAGATTTTGCCAGAATGTTAGACAAATGACAACTTTACAACTACAGTGTATTTTTGTGAATATGCATTTTTTTTAAGCTGATCAAGACTTAAACCTGTCTTAGATAAATTTTCTTTATTAAAAGTGGAATGTATAAAACACAGTGATCTAGAAAGCCATTATATTTTGCATCTAGTTAAATTTCAATTATCATGTAAACCAAGAATTTCCTAAAATGAAAACTCAGTGTAAATAGGGATTTCTTTGAATTTGCCAAAAGTTTAAGTTTATTGAAATAACTTCACCTTGAATTTAATTAGCAGTAAAATATTTCTGCCATAATAATATTGATTAACATTTCTATACAACCATCTGATCCTGCATGGTATAAATTAATGTGACAATGGAATGCAGTTTACTCCAAGGAAGGTAAGATACTTTGAATTGTTACTAAATAGGACATATAAATCAACTGAAGTGCCTAGACAGTTAACTTTTTTAAATTGTCATTTAATTAAGTTAAATTCAAATTAGCACTAGGTATTGTTTTGGGGATAAAAAAGATATTTAATAGCTCTTTGCAATTGAAATTTTGTACATTGTAATTCTAAAACCAAAAATTACCGGACTTGCAGTAATTTTTGAAGGCAATAAGCTTCTCATGAGAGAAGCTTATTGCCTTCTCTTATGTTTAATGTAACTTGGATTTGAGTAAGATTATTTCATAAGGCATAAGTTTTACAAGTCATTTCTTAAATGTAGCTTAATTCATGATTTAAACTTGCAAAATAAAATTACATATTTTTCCTGTTTCTTGTTCAATGGTAAACTGCTTTCTCTGCTTCTTTTTATTATTCAACATTGCACAATCTTTTGCAGTCAATTGCAACAACCATGGTATTTTATTTCAACTGCTTATGTTAATAGTAACTCATTCAGTCCAAGTGGCAACTTTTTTTCAATTTTGTTGTTGAAGGATAAATTTGGCTTGTCATCACTAACAAAACGCAAAAGCAGCCTTTCCTATCTTACTGCTAGATTTGGTCCAAAAGGGTAAGTTTTTTGTTTATTTTTACTGTCATGAGAGTCTATTATGTACAGTATGCTATTATGTACAGTATGCATGGTTTTCATGAGAAGCTGGTAAGTGGTGGAAAAGTTTTAGACCATTGCAAGGTTAACCATATCTCAGAGAGTTTCTAATTTTAAATTTTTCGGGGGAGCATGCTCCCGGACCCCTTTTGAGAGGCATGTTGCCTCACAACATGACATGCTTGCTATGCATGCATAATTCAATCTAGCTGCCAACTCAGTTCAGATCATGCATCTGTTCCATTTTCTAATGACAACCCCACCTTATACCTTTCATTGCAATCTAAATGTTTCTGTCCTTGAGCTAGTAAAGCTGCAGCATGTGATTTTGCTCGCAGGAAAGAATTAGTGGATGAAGATGTTAATTTGAAGAATCCAAGTGAAGCGGTAGAAGAAGTGGAAACATTACCTGAGGAATTTTACAACAAGCCCTTGATCCTTGAAAAAGGTAGCTGGAAATACAGTTTCATTTTATGGTTCGAATTGCAAATTTAGTGCATCAATGTCATCCCAGTGAGCAACTGGGCGCCTTCCCCTTGTCCCCCCCAAACCCAACTGATAACAAGTTAGAGTTAATGCAATGTCAGGGGAGGTTTAGCTGCTCTGTTTCTCAGATACTGACCCAGTTCCACTTAAGTTTAGTTCAATATTCTTCTCTATGTCAAGGTGAGTCCCCATATTAGAAAGCTTACTTTCTCTAACAATTTATTTTCTAGTTCCAAATCTATCACAAAGACTTTGTCAGCCTGATTTCCAGCCAGGAGCCATTGGGTGAGTGAAGGATGTTTATTCACAACTTGTTACAAACAGAAAAGTGCATTTATGGTTGTACAACCATTAACTAGCTTCTTGAGTGCTTAGGAAACCTCCCAAGTGCATCGATAACTCAGTAGAGTACACTGTGGTGTTTACCATTTGTTTTGTAAAATAACATTGATGCATTCTAGCAGAAGAGTTCCCTTTTATTTAAAACTGAAATCTTACATGACCAGAAAAAATAAGTGCACCGAAACTTGTCTTTGCTTTTGCTCATGTCAGCAGTGTACACCCATGTGCAAATGGTGGACACAAAATTGACCAATCAGAGCACGCTCTATACCTTGGCTATGTTATAATTAAAAATATTGTTACATTTACTTTATTAATGATATTATTTTGTTTTCTGTTTATATTTCAGTGATCTTCATCCCAGACACAAACACCTCCTGGCCAAGAGATCGCAACGCTGCAGGGTGAGAAAAACAAACCTGATAGTCATCTAATTTTGGAAAGAAGTAATAGTGATATTTTGGCTCATCACTAAGACAGCTTTGTTGTTTCTTTGCTCAGGAATGCGAGCATAACCTTAGCAAGCCAGAGTTCAACCCATCTTCAATAAAGTTCAAGATTCAGTTAGGAGCAGTGTAAGTGCATGATTATATTCAATGTCTAAGGGTGTTCTTTGGGAGAGTCCAAGTGCCGCATGTTACCAACTTTGGAGTGTTTCCTTTGGGTGACCCTTAATTTAAAGCTTTGTTCTGTTGTGGCATTTAGGTGTTGTGCTACACTTATAGAAGTTTTCTTGCCATGTAAAAATTACTTTGAACTTGAATTTACCCTTTAACCAGTCTGTCTGTATGTTTATCTTGTTCAGGCATTATGTACCAATGTTGAAAATTTCAAGTGTCCCAGTGCTGAAGTTTGGTAAGGTGAGTGTCAATTGTGAGCTCAAATTCTTCCCTTGTTTCACAGCAATTTTTTATTTTTTTCACCAACCTGAGAGGCAGAGTCAGGATAATTTAAATTCTCAAAGCCTAGGTACTTACAATCAAAAAGCAGTGCAGTGCCAATCAGAGTAAGGAACTCAATTAGTGACTGGTGATTATCCAATGTTATCACCTGCCACAGTTCTGCTGTACAGCGGTCCAAACATTGCAATCCTCACCTAATAGGTTGAGTCTAGCATCGATAGTAATTGTATATCGAGAGATAACAATAAAAGCCTCATTTATTGTTTATCAGTAATGAGAGAAATGGTGGCTGTATCTCTAGGGTGCTGGACTCTGGTTTTAATGGGACAGGTTTGAGACCTGGCCGGGTCATTGTGTCAGGTTCTTGGGTGAAGCACTTTACTTCTTCAGTCCCACTTTCCACGCAAGGAAGGAATGTGAACTTGCGAATTGTCAAGGGAGTCTGATGAAGTACTAGGCAGGGGGGTAACCTTGTAATGGACTGGCATCCCATCTGGGGGAGGGAAGTAATAATTTATTGTAGTTGTTTCATGGCATGGAAACCAGGATAAACCCTAGCTGGATGAGCCATGTGGTTGGAGTACAGACTTTTTCTTTATCATTATCAATACAAGGAGCAAACATTTTTCTTTAATTTGTGATTGTAGGAATCTCAAGTGACCCTCTCACTGACAAATCCAGTTGAAAATTTATTAAAAGTCACTCTGCTAAGATTTGAGGAAGAGACAAAGGACACAGGCGAAGAGAGTGATGTACAAAACAAAGGGGACAAGTCAGATCAGACTGCTGATAAGAAAGACAACAAGACTGAAAATGAAGAGAAGAAAGAAGATGAAAAGAAAGATGAAGCTAAAGAGAAGAGTGAAGCAGAACAAGAGAAAGATGCAGAGAAAGAGAAAAAGAAGGACAGTTCTATTGGAGTGGCAGCTGTCATTCGTAAGCCTGATCGCAGCATGAATAACAGTTGTGAAAGTAGATCTTTTGTATCCACCGCTGAGGTAATTCTTCATATCTTTTTAAAACCCTGTAAGAGTTACCAGTGCCAAAGAGTGACCAGCATCTAATTTCTCCTTACAATATCGCTCCTAGAATTTTTGAGGAGGTCTTTGATTCCTTTTTAATAACAATAGTTTTAGTCTTGGCCGCTCGTGGAAGTTAAAGTGTCCACTGTCCAAGGTTCCTCTGAGAAGGCAACTCGTGTTCAGCAATTAGTTTTTGTAATCACTATCGTTTGTTTGTTTGTTTGTTGTACAAGGTTGTCTTGCCAACGTTCCCGCTGATGTTAGGAGCGCGTGATGAGGCTGCTGAGTTTGATGAAATAGACTCTGCTACTCCTGCGGAAATGTTTAATGATGATCCAAGGTTAGATATGAAGTTCATTATTACGTAATGAATAAAGGCTGATAGTTTCTAAAGAAACTGTTTGGGGCTGCGTCGGTGGGGGTAACGAAATAATTTGGATATATCAACAAAGTTGAAATGGTAAATTGGCCGCCGTAACGATAACAAAAGCTGACGTTTCGAGCGGTAGCCCTTCGTTGGAGCTAACGCTCGAAACGTCCTCATTATTACGTAAGTTCATCGCTGCTGCCGGGAGGTTGATAACTCTACTGGCTCGGATGAAATATTTCTCTTAAAACGAATAAGTTATTTCCAGAGAAAGATGATTGGTTTTACTTGAACCATAATATTTTTATAGCTACAATGTATTAAGCTGTTATTTGTAACGGTATTTCTGCTTTTCTTTCCATATCAGAGTTGTCGTCAACCGACAAGCCAACAAGTTGTGGTTTCTTGTAAAAGTTTTGCCGCAAAAGTCAATAGGGGATGTAAAAGTGAGTGGGAGTTCTTGTCGTATTCAGGGCAGTTCTCTAAATTGATTGTCGAAAATACGGCAGCATTGTACTTGTTTTGAATAACCCATTTTGGTGATTGGTCAAGGAAACACTTGCCACCCTCTCTGCCAATCAAATTTAAGAATGAAACCAATCATGACTTGGTCACGTGCGTTTTCCCGCGCTTGAAGCCGTTGGCATGTTTTTATCTTGATTTCTCATTGGCTCTTTGGATTGTTCACGTTAGCTCTGGTAACGCGTCGGTGTTTGTTTTTCGACTCTTAAAAGTGCTCTTCACCGTCAAGTATCGCTAGAATCTCTTTATCCCACATATATTGGTTTTACAGAAACTTAGCCTACGAGCAGTCCCTCAATAATAGGGACCTCAAGCAGTCAGGACGGCAACGCCAAGGAAGACTTCGAATAAAAAATTAATTTCTACTTTTAATTAGAATTTCGAAAAGGGCTACATGTGTTTACCATTTCGTACGGCGCCACAACTCAACCTCAACATAACGTCTAAAAGTACCGTTGAGTTACAAATAGAAATTAATATAATTTGCCGTTGCGTTTTCGGTTCGCAGACGACGCAAATTTTGCTGATTTCACGTTATCGTTTTGCAAAGGACGGCTGAGAAATGTACTAAGTTTTAAAATGCACGTGCTGAGCTATTGTTCTGCTAATTAGATCTTTTGTTTTTCCACGTTCTCGTTGCCGTCGCCGTCGTGGTTTGCTTAAGGTCCCTAATTAGCGCTGATGGGCGCACGTTTCTTTCCCCGCGGAAAGATTTGAGACGAGTCGAAGAGAGGTCTGGCACTAATGATATCAGTGTTAGGCCGTTACCAGACGTCTCCTCGGCTCGCGTTGTTCAAGGCCTCATATTTTTCGGTGGGTGAGAAAACGCTGCTCGAGCACCTGCTGGCAGGATAAGGAAAGCTAACCAAACCTGTCTCTTTATCAGTGGAGCTGTGCTATGCATGTAGTCTTCTCTAAAAAAAGACACTAATGGCTAATTTACTATAATAATTTTTCAGTTTTCCCTGATCATGCAGTATGAGTACAAACACATAACAACAGCCTTGGTACGAGGCGGTCAGGAGTCAGAAGAACAAGTTGTTACACTGAAACACAAGCTACATATCAACCTCGGCCCAGTCCTGTCCGAGTCATAAACTTAATATGATATTTATAGAACAATAGAGAGGGAAATATGACATTTATGGCTCAGGATAAGGAAAAGCCGCTGTTCATTATCATATGATTTGTGGGGGATGTTGGCGGTTCGTCTTTTTCATCGTGAGGTTTGGCTTCGTCGTCGTCGTCTGTTGTAAACAATAATAATAACATCCAGCACTTGAGAAGGGCATTTGAACGCAATTTTGGCTGTGGGGTGGGGGGGGACGATTTTAACAAACTATTCTTCAAAAATTTAAATGCCTGGAGGGCACAACTTCGTCTAAGTTCTTTAATTCGTCTTCATTAGCTGTCAGCTGAGAGGCTGTAGCAATCATGACTCGACCTCGTCGTTGCCAGTAGTTAGCTTCGCTCTCCTGATCCTTCCAGAATCTAACGTAGGACTTTGACGACCTGTGGTTTGATAATGAAATGAGGTGTCTTGAGAAAGTGGATGTAAAGGATTTTAGGGTATGTTTAAATTTATTTAAAGAATTATTGTGAGTCTGCTGAAAGAACAAGCCCAAGAGCGACTTTATATCTCAGGGATGGATGGTCCAAGTACTTGAAAGCAAGACAACTATGTCAAAACTTTCTCTTTTCGTTCACGCTCATCTTTCATCGAAACGAGCGAGACATGGAGACGAGGTAGATTAGCGAAAGAAAATTAACCTATTATAAAAAAGGGGAATCAATTTATATGAACAACTGCGAACCTACCCCTCCCTCAACCCAAAATTAACCCCCTGTGGGTTGGGTTAGGGACATTGATCCAAGGAGAGTTATCAGATGGTCAGCATGGGTAATAAAACATGCTAAAACTTCTGAAAAGTGGATCGGTATGTTAATGACAGGGTTGCAATAAAGGAAGGGCCAATTCTGCATAACACTTTAAACCCTAACTTCAGTATGCGAGCTCTACATATTGTCCTCTATACATTTCCTAGGATACTTACAAGAATTGTTTGTCCAGCAATTAAGAGCTTCATGAGTTCGCGATCATTTCCTTTATTTGGTCATATCAACTAAGTTGAAATTGTAAATTGGCCGCCGTAAAGAGTTAAAAAGCTGACGTTTCGAGCGTTAGACCTACGTCAGAGCGAATGGAGGAATTGTGGGTTGTGGGTGGGTTTATATGCGGAAAGTGAAGCTACGCTATCGGTGGGAGCATGGCCACTGTCGGCCCATTGTCTCGGCTTGCAGTTGCCCTACCGAACTTATTTCCAGCTATTTAGACAAAATTATGGCTCCCATCGTCAACACTTTACCATCATATATTAAAGGCAGCCAACACGCTCTTCAAATTTTTCGCGACTTTAATTCAGATTTCCTTGGCCAAGACAAACTTCTTTTCACCATGGACATTACATCTGTT